CTGGTTACATTAATCATGTAACCATATTTTCCAGAGCCTAAGGATTCACTTGCTATTTTAAGCACTTACTGTGCTGTCCTCGAGCTGGCTGGCTTGTTTCATGCCCACGTGGATATGCAGCGACACATGGACATTTGGTCTTATTTTGACTGCTCACAAAGGGCTTAATAAAAGACAGGCTTTGGTGCATCAAAAGAACATAGTCCACAGGTGTTCCAAGCTGGGCTAACTTGTATGTAGAACAAACAATTAAGCTTTGGAATTCGAGACTCTAAATTGTATCAGTTGAGCACCTGTTCTGAAGAGAGGAAAACACCTTTCATTACATTACCCGAGGGCATGACAGGCTCTGGGCTGTGTAGAGTTACAGCAGATCCTTTTCTGGCATGCTAACTGAGGTGCTGCCACTCCTTCTGTGAATGCTGCCAAGGACTTCAAGTTGAACATTTTTAGGGACTACCTCCGTCTCCGTCTCCATCTCGATTTCCATCCTTATGCCTCTCCGTATCTCTTTCCACATTTACCACTTTACTGAGCATCTTCTACAAGCCAGACAATGTGCTAAAGATGTTAAACACAGTACATGTAATCCCTCCCAATCATCCTGCAAGGCTTCGTACCCAAGGTCATGTCAGTTTTGGGAAATTGGGATTCAGAGCCAGATGGGTTGGACACCAGAACCTGAAATCTTGATCATCGTGCTATCTGGTGGGCAGCCTCCAGGTTTTCACAGGCTCGGGGGTGTCTTCCGGCCTCTTTTCTGGCTCCTCCTTCAGGTCTTAGATCTTCAGCCTTCCTACATGTCTATTTTTCGACCTCTTCTCTCTGACTCTAAGGAGCTCCCTGATAATGCTATGCACTCCCATTATGGCCCCAGTCACCATCCATGAGCCACCAGCTTTAAAACCTCTCCAGGAAAATTTTACTTCAACTGACTGCTTCCATCTGCATTGGAAAGGCTCTCTCTTGGGCTACCCCAGTGTCGTCCTTCCAGAACCGAGCTAAGTGAGCATCGTTCTCAGCAAGCCTACTCCTCCTCCAGCGTAGCCAGCCTGGAAACAATAGCACCACCAGTCATCTGGGCTCCTCCCTCTTCCTCTGTATCTACTTCATTCTCCTCAACCCATTCTCCACCTGGCACTGCCAGAGTGATCTTCCAAAAACACAAATGTAGTGCCTCTCCTTCAAACTCACCAATGCCTTCTCAATTCCTTTGCAGATAAAATACTTGTTGGCTGGGCCAGAAAATCTGGCATGTTTTTTAGCTAGCTTCAACCCACTCTTTTTCTTTATCTTGGCTTCCTTTTTTCGCCTATCAGGCAACATGATCCTTTTCCTTTTGAGAGTTTCCTTAGCCTAAGTACTTTCCAGATTCTCCTTTATACCTGAACTCAAATGTCATCGTAACAGAAAGGACTTCCCTGAACCTCCCAACTCTCTGTCTTCCATGTCCTGCTTTAATTTTTTCATAGCACTTACCATCACTTGGCATATAATACATTAGTTCATTCCCTTGTTTGATTTCTGTCTTCTCCTGTCAGAATTTGGCTCCATTACAATAGGGATGTCTGTATTTTGTATACTGTTGTATAACAACTATTGTATATATGCCTATAACTGTGCCCAGTAAATAGTAGGCATTCAATAAACATTTAGTGAATAGACAGAAGTTCTTTTTAATTCATATATATTTATCATGCAAAATATAAAAAGATATTGACATTTTATTTTGCTGAACTATCTTGTTACAAACGATCACATGGATCCAAGTGAAACTTAACCTAAAGCAACTAAAGAGCTGAATCTGTCCAGCCACTGACTTACAACTGCATGTCCTCTGATGTCCAGGCCAGGTATACCAGATAGACAAGCCAGCCACAGGCAGGGACCAAGTACATCTTCACGCAAGATACAGCACTTGGTCGGACGTGGTAGCTCATGCCTGTAATCCCAGTGCTTTGGGAGGCTGAGGCAGGCAGATCACTTGAGTCCAGGAGTTCAAGACCAGCTTGGTCAACTTAATAAAACCCTATCTCTACTAAAAAAATAAAAATAAAATTTAAAAATTCACTGGCCATGGTGGTGTATGCCTGTAATCACAGCTACTCAGGAGGCTGAGGAGAATCGCTTGAACCCAGGAGGCAGAGGTTGCAGTGAGCCAGGATTGCACCACTGCACTCCAGAGTAAGACTCTGTCGTCAGGAAAAAAAAAAAAAAAAAGACACAGTACTTACACTGAATCAGAAGTCAGAATGCCTTGGACTATGTGTTTGCATATGAGAGTCACTATTCCAATCTGGATGGAACAGAAAATTTGGGGAGTGTGGAAGTCACAGCAACAGACTCTCTGTCTCTGGGAGGAAGACGATTCTTTGCTAGACAATGGATACATCTAACATAACTCTCTCTGCCTTCGCAAGGAGAGAGGCAGCCTCCTTGTATGCCAAAATATCCAGAATATTGAGGAATTTTGATTGTCCAGAATACTGGGCATGTACAGTCACTACAACAAAAAAGGGACCTTCTTATTTTTAGCAGTCTTAGTAATTGATGTGATAGTAATTACAATAATGACAGCAGCTGACATGTATGGATTGCTTACAATATATCAGACACGACACAGTCTCATTTACTCTTCACAACTCCTCCAAGAGGTGGGGAGTTCATTGTCCTTATTTTATAGATAAGAAAGCTAAGGCTTAGTGAAATTGCATAATTTGCCCAAAGTCATGCAGCTGGTTAACCAAAATGTGACTGAAATAACTATCTTGATCCAAAGCTTGTGTTGCTTCATGATTCTGCCTTCCAACCTGAAAATTAGAACCATCAATCCCTTCAAGAAATTTCAGGCTGGTTGTGGTGGCTCACGCCTGTAATGCCTGTAATGCCAGCACTTTGGGAGGCCGAGGTGGGTGGATCACAAGGTCAGGAGTTCAAGATCAGCCTAGCTATCATGGTGAAACCTCGTGTTTACTAAAAATACAAAAATTACCCCGCATGGTGGCTGAGGCAGGAGAATGGCTTGAAACTGGGAGGCAGAGGTTGCAGTGAACCAAGATGGTGCCACTGTACTCCAGCCTGGGTGACACAGCGAGACTCTGTCTTAAAAAAAAGAAAAAAAAAGTGCCTCAAAAGTTAGATGAAAAGCATTGTCAGTCCGAGTTAGGCTCATCAGAGTGGGTTTCATAAAGAAGGTGACATCTGAGTTAGATGAGCTTAGAAAGATAGAGAGGATAATGACGATTTTTCCCAAAGGCAGAAACAGCATAAACAGAGCCATAGCAAAAGTAGTTCAAAAGGTGCATTTGGGTTTAAATAAACTAACCTGGCAAAAGTAAGAGGTTAAGCCGGAGCAGTGTTTCCCAAGCTGTTCAACAAAGTAACCATGGTTAGGTGGAGAAAAGGGTTTAACATTAATTATGCTTGGGAAGTGTTGCGTTAATCACATTTCTGCAGGACTTCTTGGAGCCTTTAGTGAAGCTAAGTACATTATATGCCTCCTGAAGAGTGAGGATATTACACATTGTGTTTGTTTTCCTGATGTATTTGACTAATAGACTCCCCCGCCTTCTTTGTGGTATGAATGTATTTATTTATTTATTTAGATAGAGTCTTGCTCTGTTGCCCAGGCTGGAGTGCAGTGGTACGATCTCAGCTCACTATAACCTCTGTGTCCCAGGTTCAAGCAATTCTTGTGCCTCAGCCTCCTGAGTAGCTGGGACTACAGACATGTATCACCATGCCACCTAATTTTTTGCAATTCTTTTTTTTTAGCAGAGACAGGTTTTCCCACATTGACCAGGCTGGTCTCAAACTCCTAACCTCATGTGATCCACCTGCCTCGGCCTCCCAAAGTTCTGGGATTACAGGAGTGAGCTATCAAACCCAGCCAGTTTTTTGTTTTATTCTTTTTAATCGAGAACCTGTGAACATCTCATTAAACTGACAACCTGTTAGATGAGTTTAAGAAGCGATGTTTTGCAAATTTTATAGCCAATAACACATAGAAGACCAACAGGAACCATTCCACGGATGACCTGGGTTGCTCTGCTAAGGAGCTCTAGCTCTGTGGCTCTAAGACCCTGATGGAGGTTCTGGATAGGGCCATGCCATGAGCAACTGTTTGAGAAAATTTGGCAGGCATCAGATCCAGGCCAACTAATCACATCTACTGTGTGATCCAGTGGTAAGGTGGTGAGGGCCCAAACTTAACTGAAAAAAAAATATGGTCTCTTTATCCTTTTCCATTTCTACAGTTCGTCAACACAATAGTTTTCATGCCCTAGTCAATTTTCTGAGGTCATTAGAAAACTGAGTCTACATACATGGTCAGCAGTAAGAAACTGGGCATCTAAAAAAATCCCATGAAGATGCCGAAGAAAAAGAAAACCCAAAGCCTGGAAGCTAATCTGATTGATCATATCATTTCCCTACTTAAAAGTCTTCAGTGAGGGAGGCCAAGACAGGCAGATCACTTGAAGTCAGGAGTTCAAGATCAGCCTGGTCAACATCGTAAACCCCATCTCTACTTAAAATATACAAAAATTAGCCAGGCATTGTGGTGTGCACCTATAGTCCCAGCTACTCAGGAGGCTGAGGCAGGAGAATCACTTGAACCCAGGAAGTGGAGGTTGCAGTGAGCTGAGATTGTGCCACTGCACTCCAGCCTGAGTGACAGATTGAAACTCCATCTAAAAATAAATTTTAAAAAATTTATTTTAAAAGTATTAAATGGGTCCTCCTTTCCTTTAATATTAAAAATAAAATATTTCCCCTGGCCTACAAGGGTCTGTAGGACCTGGCCATTGTCCACCTCTTCTCTGCACCTCACACTGTGTTCACATTTCCATGGTACAGCAAGTCCCTGGGCACTTCATTGACTGTAAGCTCCTTGAGGTCAAGGCCTGCCTGCTTTTGTTTATATCAGAACTAGCACATAGTAGGAACTCAATAAATATTTTAAAGTGAATGGATGGATAGACAGCTTACCTGCAGGAACAGATGTGATTGTAGAATGCTTTCTAGCAGATTCCACCGAAGTCCAGTCCACTCCCCAATATCAAGATTAACAAGTTTTAAAATAAAACTTAGCAACTCTCCGTGTAGCTCTTTCTGTTTGACTTTATATTTCACATGACCTCCCCTGTTTCTGTGAATCAGAGCTTCCAGCTGGCTGGGATTCTATTTGTCATTTCTCAGCAGGCAAAAACCCAAAGGCCACAGTCTCTGGTTGCTTTATTCTTTATCCTCTTCACAGATCACCCCAAGGGAGACAGCATCTACTATCTTCCTCATGGAAACCTTCAGCATCTTGATTTACCTTCCTGACTGCAAATACCTGTTGAAGTATGAAACATAATTAGTCCATTTCTACCTGGAATTCTTAACTTAGCCAAATATTAGATTGAATTCAATTGAAGTCATATAAAATACCAATTCCTATTCAATTCTAGGTGAATTGAGACCTTCGTATTGAGTTGCTTATGCAGGTAAAACTGGCTTTGGATATTTCAAAAAAAACACTCGAGATATTCAAAGCCTTCCATATCTTACCTAAACCACCATTTTCTTCTTATTTCCCACAATATCCATCAATAAATCTATAGTTCAGCCACTGTGATTTCTTTTTGTTTTTCATAAAACAGAGTCTTGGCCGAGCATGGTGGCTCACTCCTGTAATCCCGACACTTTGGGAGGCCAAGTCAAGTGGATCACCTGAGGTCGGGAGTTTGAGACCAGCCTGAACAACATGGAGAAATTCTGTCTCTAGTAAAAATACAAAATTAGCCGAGTGTGACACTGCATGCCTGGAATCCCAGTTACTTGGGAGGCTGAGGCAGGAGAATCACTTGAACTCTGGAGGTGGAGGTTGCCATGGGCCAAGATGATGCCATTGCACTCCAGCCTGGGCAACAAGAGCAAAACTAAAACAAAAACCAAAATAACAACAAAAAACAAAAAACAAACAAACAAACAAACAAACAAACAAAAAACAGAGCCTTGCTCTGTTGCCCAGGCTTGAGTACAGTGGCATGATCTCTGCTCACCGCAACCTCTGCCTCCTGGGTTCAATTCTCATGGCTCAGCCTCCCAAGTAGCTGGGGTTTACAGGTGTACGTCACCATGCCTAACTAATTTTTGTATTTTCATTTTGTATTTTAGTAGCAACACGGTTTTGCCATGTTGGCCAGGCTGGTCTCGAATTCGTGGCCTCAAGTGATTTACCCACCTCAGCCATCCAAAGTGCTGAGATTACAGGCCTAGCCTCAGCCACTATTATTTCTAATGAATTTCCATATTTACAACTAAAGATTATTTTATTTTTACCACTGTTTTCCATTTTCCAAACTCTCTTACCAACTTATGGGGCTGCTTATGAACTTCTCTTTTTCCTTAGGCCAGGCAATTCAATGTTTCAAACTGAGCAAGGCTTTCAGACACTGATTTTTTTCTTAAGATGGGAGTTGGGGGCATTTTATTCCTTTTTTTTTTTTTTTTAGAGAGAGAAGGTCTTACTCAGTTGCCCAGGCTGGAGTGCAGTGGCTTGATCTCAGCTTACTGCAATCTCCACCTTCCAGGTTCAAGTGATCCTCTCACCTCAGGCTCTTGAGTAGCTAAACCTCATAAATATAATGGCACAGGTTGCCATTATATTTAATATATATAATTATATATACAAATTACACACACACACAAATATATATATATATATTTGAGATGGGGTTTCACTATGTTGTCCTGGCTGGACTAAACCTCTGGGGCTCAAGCAATCCACCCACCTCAGCCTTACAAAGCTCTGGAATTACAGGCCTGAGCCACTGCACCTGGCCTTACTCTCACTCTTTCTAAAATATATTTGTGAGGAAGACAAATGGACCCTTTGAGTCTGCTTGAGAAATCAGTTGATCCCTTGTTATGCCAGATGAGCCCAGGGACATAGTTTTGAAGCCTGGATCTGAGCCTGGTGCTGGGCCTGGAAACACTTCCCTGCTTTCCTTGAGAAGGCAATCTCCCTGATGGCTGAGCCCCAGGCACATCCAGGAGGCTTCATAGCACACCCCCAACAGCTAGAAGAGGTTGCCCTGCAACTTTAGGTTAGCACTAAGGCCAGAAGTGGGAGGAGGTTGTCGCCAAACACCTCCAGCCATCTGAGCAGCTCTTCAGCTTGGTTTGTGGTGCTTTGTCCTGGGGACTGTCTAAAATGAAGGACCTGTTTGGCTGCCCTCTGCTTTCCCTCGAACTCTCTGAAACACCCGGAATGTTCCTGAGACGCCTGAAGGTAAATTAAAAGTTCCACTCATTTATGTATGCCGCCCATCAGCACTCAGTCAACATCAGCACATACCTCTGGACATTGCCCAGATAAGTTGTATTTGATCTAGTGACCTAAAGGTGAATTGTAGGTTATACTTAATTACACTCAGGAGCCAAGTGCAAGTCAGAAACAAACCTTTCTATTTCACTCCAAAACACCGTGAAACCCCTTAAGGGAGTCCACTGATTATACCAAAGAGGTTTGTATGAACCAACTAGGGTAAATAATTAGACTGTATTTTTAATTAATATTGCAGTGCCTTCTAGCACAATGATATTTAAGATGATGATGGTATTGGAAATAAGTAGAGAAACAGTCTTGCCCTTGATGAAACCAGGAAGAATGAAGAAAGTTTTGTCAGACAGAAAAAAACACCCTGCAATTCTAGCAATCTTGTGTCAAAAGTTTCTAGTATGTTTAAAGAAAGTTTTCAATTTAGTAAATGCTCTGTTTGCTATGGTGAATGTTGGTCTCTATTATCAAAAAATAAATACAGAGAAAAGGAAAGGCAAGTAGTATGCATTCCTAGTTGGCATCACTGCAAAACTTTTTTAAGTCATGTGAACTTTACGGGAATAATAACAATTAACAGATTTCATAATGGGCACCATTTCAATTTTTGTTTCATTAAGCTTTGTAAAAATATAGGCTTTTGAAAAAAGCCAGTTCAATTAAAGCATGAACTTTTCATTATTTTTTAACACATTTTACCTATTTTTAATTGATAGAAGTGTTACATATTTTGCCAACCTAAGAGTTTTTCACACTTCTTTAATTCAAACCAGCTTGATTTTTGCAATTCAAATAGACACATTATTATTTTGTATTACCTGGAAACCAAATAAAGTAACAGTAAAACTTATTAAGTAGATCACAATGCAAACATTATTTCCTAAAGAAATTTATTTTATACATTCAGTATGAAGTAGATTTTTTTTTTGTTTAACCCTAGCTAAACCTCATAACTCCTTAATGAGAAAGATACTAATAGTCCACAAATAATATTTTACAAATGAAAAAACCCAAGCACTAAAAAGTTATGTATCTTGCCCTAGGTCACATAACAAGTGAAAGGTCAGAATCTGTTAGGATTCTGACCACTTGTAATGTCTTCTTTAGGCTTAAGATAACAAACAAATTAAGCAAGGAATATGTCTTTTTATTCCCCCCCCCCTTTTTTTTTTTTGCTTGTTTTTTCTTTACATATTATTGCTATACTAGGCACATGTTAGTATCTCAATGAATAATTCATATTCAGCTTTCTATTAAGCACAGCTCTCTGTAACCTGCATTGGTATACATTTATGGTCAAACAATACTATGTTAATTATGATGACCTTAAGATATTGCAAGATAATAAAGTCACTTGAAGCATCACAGAAAGATAAAAATACATTTATTTGTGCCCTGAACTGCAGATTAGTGATAAGGACCAGAGGCAGGGAAACTCTGGGGAGAAGAGGGCAGGTCCCCATCAAGGGTCCCACCCTCAAGCCAAAAAGCCTAATATTGCACCCCAAAGTGGGAGTACATAGCCCTGTTGTCCCACTTGAATGTTGCCTTTTCCAAAACTACCCATGGCTTTTATGGGCACCATCTGGCTCTGCCAGCAGAGAGAGGAGAAGCAGCTGGATGCCGGCATCTATGGTTGGACACTGGAGAGAAGCAGCTTGACTTCAGACGGACAAATTGACAGTATAGCCTTGGAAGGAGTCCAGCTGGGGATGACTGGACTCCAGGGGAAGTTCACCCTCCCACTCTTTCCCCTTTTCAGCTCCCTTTCCTGCTGAGAGCCCCTTTCATCGTTAACAAAATCCCCCACATTTACCATCTCCAATTCCTTCATGCAACCTCATTCCTCCTGGATGCCAGACAAGGATTCAGATGCCATGAGTATGGGTGCAAAAGACTGTCACCCTGACCCTCCATTGAGCTGTTAACACAAGCCATCCACAGACAGGAAAGCTAAAAGGACACTGTGACACACTTACTGAAGCTTCAGAGGTAGTGGGCTTTCCCCTAAATGCTGTCATGTGGTCCACACAAAGTTTTGCTCCTATCAGTAACCAAAAGCACTCACCCCGGCTCCTGCACCCACTCACCTGAACTCCCCCTCCCGCAAGGGGTAAAACGCAGCAGGACCAGGAGACTGGAGTCTACCCATGCAGGCACCAAAGTGGCTGGCTAGCTCTAGCACCCGTGCACTCCCAATTCCCATCCATGAAGGGGTGAGGGAAATATCTTGCTTCAATAGTATCACCTGTTACTGGCTATGAGTTGACCATCTTTGTCTGTATGTTCCATATTAAATTGTTTTTCATCTTCTACCCAACACTTCTCTGTCCAAGCTTCCCAACTAGAAACCTGGGATTCACCTTCAAGTATTTTTATTCTCTCGTCCACTATCCTTGTGGTTATAGAGTATCCATTCCACCTTCTAAGTCTCTCTCAAATCTATCTCTTCTCTTCCATTTCCACTGCCTTAATTCTGACCCTCATTTTCTTTTGCCTAGAAAATTTTAACAGCCTCGTTATAGGGGGCCTTGGGTCTATTTTCTCACCGTTGGTATTTTTCTTCCCAGGTGCCCAGTGTTACCTTTCTGAAACAGAAATCACTCACTTTCTAAAGACTGCTGACAGCTGCCTCTACCCTAAAGCAGCATTTTCCATGCAGAGATCCATGAAACCCTATGTGCACTACGAAAAGGGAAACACAAATAGCTACAGGGCAAGCTCTTGGAAATTTATGATGCAGAGTAGCATAGTAAAGACTCTGAGAAGTCCTGCAGGAAAGTTAACCCCAAGTAACTGGCCTACCCAGTGTTTGCCACATTACTTGGCCTCAGAGGCTTCCTGTATTTCCAGACAACACCAACCAACACCTTGAGGAACCAGTATTTTTCTAAGGCTAGTTTGAGAAAACACCACGCTACAAGATAAATTGAATGTAGTGCCTGCTCTTCTCCACAGAGCATAGCCTTCCTCAACCGATTACACCATGTTTATTGCTACTTTCAAGGCAA